AGTAATACTTTTCAAAAATGGAATCTAGTACCATCTCTTGGGAATTTCCTTTATATGCTTATGATAGTTGCTTTTCATTCTATGGCAGTGTTTCTCAACCTTGGCAACTTGAAGATGTCCGGACTTCAACTCCCAGAATTCCCCAGCCAGCGAATGCTGGCTGGGGAATTCTGGGACTTGAAGTCTGGACATCTTCAAGTTGCCAAGGTTGAGAAACACTGCCATAGAATGAAAAGCAACTATCATAAGCATATAAAGGAAATTCCCAAGAGATGGTACTAGATTCCATTTTTGAAAAGTATTACTGGGATTTAAAAAAAAACAACCTTAATGAACAGAAGAAGTAGCTATGATTGTTTTGGACTGCTTTGTTTAATGTCACAATCCTTTTTTATTAAGGCAAAGCAAAGAGCAGAAGTCATTCAGTCAACGCAGAGATTTTTCTCTGAACAGCAGCAGAGCAAGCCACCTGGAGGCAAAATACAGAAAGTGGGTGACAATGGGAGCAAAGCTCCAGAGGCAGTGACAGACTCCACCTCTGGAATCTGCCAAGACAAAGTGGAAGAGAAACAGAATGCTACGGCAGCACCCAAGCCTATTAGAACTGGTCCAATCAAACCCCAGGCCATCAAGACAGAAGAAACAAAATCATAAAATGATGCTTTTTGCAAACCAATATGAAGAGTGAAATGTCAGCTGAATCAACCTTGAGCCCAGAGAGGGCGAGGCATACCTGTTCAAAGCTATGAGTAGCAAAAACAGAGACGGCTGTCATCAGCTATGAGTGCTAAAGATCTGGAATCGTGGGGACTTTTCTATGGGACATTTTGTATGCCGTTGCATGAATGAATGTGATCAATCAGAATTGAGGCACCTCTCTGCTTTTTCAATGGTGCAAAACTAAATAATGCTCCTGAGGCATTTTATTAGCCAAAGGTAAACATTCTCCTTTTTTGCTGCTGATTTATTTAGAGAAAGAAGGGCAGATCGGAGAAGACCATGCTGGGATAAAAACACGGGGTTGGAGTTTGGGCTACTCGGGCCCAAATCAGATGTTCTTTCAAAACGGAGCAGGAGAATTTACGACCATGAATAAAGTCATAAAAAGAGCAGCTTAATCACCCCCTACTCCCATTACACACCATTTCATTTTGTAAATGTTTGATGTCAAGATTTCCAGGAAAGGCAGGAGGTGGTCTGCTACTACAATTTGATTATGGTGCTGAATTTTAACTGAAAAAAAAAGATATTAATTGCTTCTCCATGTTAATATAATATCAGAAGGGCAGTTTTGGGAGGCTCCCTTTTACATTGCCAGTTGCGTTGAGCTCAAACTAGACAGAGCTTGAGAAGAAAGCCTTTGGCCTTGAAATGCTTCTTAATTTGTGAGCATAAAGCAGCAAGCATTTCATTTTGGGCCATAAAAAACCAGATATTTATATCAGAGCTGCATCACTCTTTCTGCTCATTGTGCTGGAAAATAGAATCAAGTCAAAATAATGCCTTCTTAAATTGTATCTCTTAGTAGTATAGCTGTAGGAAAAGTACTGTATGATAACTTCTGTGAATGTAAAATATCTCATTCCTGCTTACAATATGTAGTTGTGACTGTGCTATAGCAGAGCTGTATAATGAAGTTATTCAGACTTTTCAAGTCAATTGGAGGGCACCACATGGCACATCATACCGAACTATTTTCTCTGGCAATTTTCCCGACCCCTTTCTGGAACAAAGAATGAATCAAAAACGGTGTAATGTGTATAATTTTGTTCAGATGATGGCAAAATCTGGAAAAGTCTGTTGCTGCTATTGATGCCTAGTGAAATGCTGTTGGTTATCTTTTTTATATAAATATTATAATTTGCATTTTTTTTTAAATTTTAGCTGTGATGTCAGCTTTGGAGAAAGAGATCCACTTGTTCTGTGAGTTGGCATTGTACAGAAATTAACAGCCATATTGGTCTAGAAAAGTTTAAACTTTTTTTTTCATTTGTACAGGGGTAACGCACTGTATTAAATATGTAAGGTCTTATTTACATGGGTTTGATTACAGAAACTAATAAAATATTCTCTACATAAAATATTGGGTCATGTTTTGAACTTAAATTTTGTCCCAAAGAAGTCATGGACTTAAAATCCTTGTTTTGGGAAAACATCTCTCATCAATTCTGTTCTTAAAGCCTAATTCCAAAGAAGAGAAACTCAGAAAACTACTTCATGATAAATCAGAAAATTATACAGAATTATCGAGGGATCTTAAAAGTGGGCGTATGATCATACTGTGAGAGCACTTTTGTACTGAAAAAATCCCACTTAATCCTTATCCTTGCATAGAAGAATTTCTCCAATGGCATGCACCATAAACAATTTTGTGTAAGATACTTTCGTAAGGATGCAATCTTTTTTTATTTCATTTGACATAGCTAAATTGAATTATGCAATTACTTATTTTAAAAATCTAACATTCGACCAATTCCCAGGATTAAGTCCCAGTAATAAAAAATAGAATTGGGGAAAAAGTAAAATACGATAGACCAGCATAGTAGTAGTTTTTTAAAAAAAATCAAAGCACTTAGTGCAAGGCTATCAAACTCACTGCCTGAAGGTTCCACCACAAAACCGCGGACGACAAAAGCGCGGTCGACGAAAGCGCGCATTTGACGTCATCACAGCGCGAGGAAAACATCGCGCTGTGATCGAAAAATGTAAAAATAAAATTAAAGCAAGCCGATTCACATA